TTGCGTGCTGCAGCAAATCAACTAGTACAATTTATCTAGTTTAATAGTAGCTTCGCTAGGATTCAGACTCTTAAATTAGCATTCTGTTCCAGTGTTACGACTAAAACACTTTAAAATCACGGCTATAGTAACAGCAACGTGTGAAGACAGGATATCAATTTGTGGAATCACGATAGCAAACATTTCGGTTATGAAAACTTGCTTGGTTAATTAAGCGAGAAAAGGTGAGGAGGAGTTCCCCATTTGAGGTCGCAGTTTCATCTGATTAATCCGCCTTCGCTTTAACTGTATCGTTATATCATCCACTGAAGATCGGTGTAACGAAATAACAAGGCAAGACGTAACAGGGCAACAAGGCTCAGCTGACAGAACACAATTCAGTCGATTTACACGAATGCACTTAATGTTCGTTCAGTGATCAGAAGGTTGAATTAATTGAATTGATTAATTAATTGATTGGCTAGTTATTTTTGCTTGTTACAGCTGGCGAAGGCTTTTCCTTTGAGGCTTTCAGCAAACTACACTTTATTTGAAAAGGCAACATGTCTGAGCAAGGAGTCAAGTGCACGTATGTTTGCACTAACAAAACGACATCGGGCTCACCAGAGGTGTAGGAGTTAAGGGTTTTAACGTCAGTCTTTTGGCAAACTGTATCATGCACTCAGAACAATTTATTTGCTCTTAAGTTGAAGAAACCCAAAAGTTTATTTTAACCCTTATGAAGTTGCAATTTGAAGAGTGTTTGCATTTATTGTTAGAGAGAAATAAATTATATCCATCTAGATTACGCAAGATATATTTTATTATTGTAGTGCGTTATCTCCACTGCTGTAAAATATCCTTTCCTAGCCGAATTCAGATGCCATTTTTAAAGAGGAATTTTACACGTTCGTCTTGTGAATCAAAGAAAACACCTGAACTAACGTTTTATTATTGTTAAGTAACCTAGAACTGATCGCTTTCAATGTCTTCCAGTACACTTGCTTAACCACCGACCGCGACACTTTTGGCATCACGGTTGGCTATTCCCAGCATGTCCAGGAATAAAGATAGATGACGTTACTTAAATATTACCAGAGATTCCAAAAGCTGTTATTTAACAACTTTTGATATTAATATATTTAATTGCCCAAATATGCTGTCGAAAAATCAGACCCATTAATTGCCAGAATTCTGATTCTAGCAGCATTATTTATTCATAGCCTTGCTAAAGAAAGTCCCGAAATTCCAGCCAATTTGCATCATAAAGTAGACGCTTAATTTGAAACAGACCAAATATTAACCTCGTTCAAAATCGAGAAGCCAATTAAAACTCGGCCAACATAGTAGCAAATAACACTTATTGCTACCCTGTTTAGTTCACGTTAAATAAACAAAGCCAAACAGTGAGAGGGCAACAACGTAAGAATGATTTAAAACGATTGGCCACGATTATGATAAAATAATGGTGCACAGAGAGGGGTGGATCATAACTGCAAAATGTGATACCATAAGTAAAAAGCGACTTTCACCATGGAAGACATCGCTTTGTGCCGCAATAACTTGACGTAATGCTGGAAACCATAGCGAGGCGAAATATAGTGCATGAAAGGTTGTAACACTCAAACATGCGTTACAACTTTCATCTAGGTTGAGAACTGAATTATATTTGGATAAAACACAGGTGGGCGTGGGTCTCGTAAGTAAAAAAAGAACAAAGTTGATTTCAGCGTCTCTAAAGCAAATTCGAAACAAAGCCATACATTAGCTTTCTTCCAAACACGCTTGGTGGCTACGACGCGATTTGTTTGATGCGTATTAAACCCCTAAGAACAGCAAAGAAGTGCAAAACATCTGGGGCCAGAAACATGCTCCTCACTTACATCCCAATAAAAGCTGGTGGAATATTTCAACGAAGGGCACAGCCACTTCGCCTTCGAGGCCATTAATGGCTACTGCGGTTCCTGCTTCGGCACAAGCTTTGTTTAGTGAACGTTCAAATCGCGAAAACCCAAATTCCATGCCAAAGGCGCGTGGCCATAAATTACTGCTTACCAACACTGTTTAATTGTTAAAACCGACAATGCTTAACAACGACCTGAAATTAATTTGGTGACCGGCTTTCCCAACTATCTCCCACACACAATGCATCTGCAGTGAACTTTTATGCACCTTCTGTCGGTGGGTATCGTAAATCTTGATCCAGTAATGAAAACAACTTGGCACCTGCAAGCACGCAAGAACAAAATCAGTACCGCCGCACTCAGTTCTTATCGTGGAAGTCGTGTGCCACGACCGCCCAGCACACAACGGCTTTTGGATGAATTAACTCTCTTGTTCAAGGACAGGAGGACCCCAACTTCCCCAGACCACAAAGAACCCGGTGAAGTGGTTAGTACGAGCGTCCGACTTACAAAGAGGCTTAGTGCACAACCACTTAGAAGGATCATCTGGACGGGGTCTAACTTTGGTTATCTAGAACACGATCCGGCTATGTAACAGAGTGAATAATTAGTCCGATCCAAACTCTGGGGTTTGATATGGAAGGAAGAGGCCAACTACAGATGTCATTTTCCAGATGATAAGGAAGCGACTGTGGCTAGGATTTGACAAGATCGAACAGGTACCATTGGCAAATAAGCGATACAATAATACCTAGTACATTCGAAGAGAGAACAAATCGAAAACATTGTGTACAGTCTTGCATGACAACAAACAGGAGAGGGCATTAAAAATTTGCATATGTTCGTCACGATAAAGGCGGATCAGCCAGTTCGAGATTTCTGAATCGCTCTGCGTCGTAGAATCCGGCCTGCACCACACGTCCACCAAAGAATCGTCCGTTCAAATCGAGAACAGCTACAAATCAAAACCAAAAGCACCTCAAAGAGTGAAAATAATCGCCGGTTTGGTGGGTGGTTAGAACTTTAACTTTTTCACTTTTATTTAATTTTAAGACAAAAAAATGATCCTTGGTGCGCACCCAAAAGTAGGAATAGTCAGAAAATTTGGACTCCGCAGTCAAAATAACGTTTGGAAGAAAGCTCGCTGGGTAATTGAGCAGGAAGCCTCATAGGGAGCTGAGTCAAGCCAACCAATAAAATATTTTGTTGCTTTCTACATACACTTGCTCTAAAGAGGAATTATCTACGCGTGAGCAACCCACAATGGGGGCGGCTGAGGCGTTTGCTAACTTGGCACCCAATAAGTAGAAAACATCAGTCTCGTTGTCCCTTCGTAACTAACGGCGCGCTATCGCAACAACTTCTGGGTTCGTCGAGTTGTGCCAATCACTTCGGCGTCATGTCACAGTCGAAATTCGGATCCCAAATCCACGAAGAATATGGTACACAGTTGGCCATTATCGCAGTACAACGGAGCAATGGATAAAGCCGTTTCGAAACATGCAAAAAAGCACGTTGAGATGTTTACAATACAACCAGCCCCTAACTTCTATTCCATGTAATGCTGTCCAATGCCTTCATTATGCTAGCACTACATACTGCCACCCGAACACATGATTTAAAGGTACTGAAGGAAATGTGCTTTTCCTACTTTGCTAACAGGCATGACCTCCCAACGAAGCCGCTGCACGTTCTAACGTTCATAAAAGGTATGGGAGCGCTCTACTCGGGACCAGCAATTTCGTTATTGAAATGAGGAAAATCTAAGTACTGGAAAGACTTATCAAGTTCATCGTGGCCCCTAAGTCTACGAGGTTACACCACAAGTAACCGATAGAGTTCATGTTTGCATCAGGACTACCTCTAGCAGCGGCCTCGGCTGTCTCGAATTCGACGAAGATGCGAACAGCCTCGGGACCGTCGCCAGCGTCGGGCATTTGGTAGATCATGCAAGTGACCACGGGACCATACTTGGCACACTCCTCTGCCGTCTCAGGCTCAAGGTCATCGTCAACGTCGCTTGGACCTCCACACATGTTCTGCAGCAAAACAACCTAAAAGTAAACAGGGGATGATAAAATACTCAGGCCAATGGGCTGAACGTGTCTTTTAGGAAGGAGCGATAATTGTGGGAAACAGTTATAATGGGAACTCTGCCCCGGTCCAGAACCGCACGCCAGCCCTCCCACGTCCGGATTTGATTTGAAACCAGAAAGATAAAACTTAAACCAGTTTAAATAAGCCAAGCATTTTGCAGAAAAAAAATGTGCCTAGCATTTAAGCGTAACTGTAATCCGACAAATACAAAGCTTCGCGTTTCTTTGCACACAGCCGAAGCAGTTTGGGTACTACATAAAAAACAGAGGGACACAAATTGATGGTCAATTAAAAGCTCGTTGGCGTGGCGACGTGGGTGCAAAAGCGCAGAATTATGGCGCAGAACTAAGGAGTGTACCAACACAAAAAGCCATTTTAGAGGACCAATGCGATGTTTAATGGCCAAAAAGTCGGACAGAAATAAAGGCGCATTTGGCACGAATTAAAATTCTGTTTGAACACAAACTACAGCTATTTTAGTTAATGGCATCCATTCGAACTAATGCCGACGGAATGACCAGGGGTCACATGTGATTACCGATTACGAAGTAATTTATGGTGTTCCAGCCCGAATTAATGCAAATGCCTTATATGCGCGTTTAGATTTAAAATATTTTTTTTGTAAATTACATTGCTGACCACAAGAGCGAACCGGCACATATATTGAAGAATATGCGTAGCAAGGTTGCACGATGCAAAGTGCCGAACCAGGGATGTAAAGCCAACGCTGGGCGAAGGGTTTGAAGGCGCGTATCTTCAGCCAATGGCTTACTTACCAGATCCGTAGAAGCTATTAAATCGATATTCAAAGCCATCCTGTGGCTGATTTACTTTATTCGAACAGAGCAATTAGTTACAAGCGAACACTGAATCATAACGATTTTAAATAATCACGACCGCCTACAGAAATAACTAATCAAGGTGCAAGTGAAAAAGGTAACAGAATAGCGTGATAAAGCATTCTACATTCTTAGCGAACACGATACTATGCAAACATGAACGCCTACTGAAACAGGGCTAGGGCGAGGCCGAGTAAATCGAAGCAGATTGGCGTCGCTGCTTCAAAGCAACCATTTCTTCGAGACCGTACGGCACAAGGTAATGTTGCATTATTACATGGATGACCGTTAAGACCAGTTTGCCTCGAAAAGGTGGCTGACGCTATACAAGTGTTTACTTGTATCAACTATCCGGTTACATGACATCCGGGCGCATGGCGCTCCGCGTAAAGAGAAGCAACAAGTTCTTGCAAGACGTGTGGAATGGATTCATAAGGCGATTAGGCCGAATCTGTGATGTGTGAAAAAAGCCTGGGGGTTAAAATAACTCACATCAGTGGCGTTGGCGGGCAAGGCCATCGCTTGTTGCGGGTCAGAGTTCAAGTTGGCTGGAGGCAACATCATGTCAGCATCCTGATTTCGTTGACGGTCCTTTTCGTGGATGATCTTGCCACCTCGGCGACTTGTCTTCTCGACAACCAGGGCTGAAGACATGCCCTGACCCTCCTTACCCAGGCCTTGGCCCTGGCGGTAGCCCATGCGAGCCATCATTTTAGCCGCTACAAGGTTTCTAAGGCAAACAACTTGGACATTAATCCTCAGTGGAGATTTTGCAGAAATGGACATTTATAGTCCATTAGTCACTGATGTTTGGTTCGAGCATAAAAAGGAGCGAGGAAAGCCCCCAGTTTCCTAGTGGTGTTTAGCCATTGAAAATTGTCCATTTTATTGTAATGAGGTGTGCAGCTGAGAATTAGTATGAACCCAAGGTCTGATTCAACGGCATTTTGGTTGGCGAAACATCATTGAGCACAAAAACAGTGTAATAAAATTCCACCCACGTTCATATGAACGGCGCAAACGGCAACCACTAAAACGAGCCAACGCTGCATCGCTACAGGCGTGTCCGCACGAGCATCAAAGCCAAACAAAAGTGGGAGAATACTTTTTTTTGAATTTCCAAATTCAGTAACGTCTCAATTTTATTTTAAAAAATATGCGCACCTCAAAATACAAAGCCTTTGCGGCTCCTAGACAGCTGCGACGGGCATATCATAAAATAACGGCTTGGTGTAGGAAGCAGTGGGTTTTTTGCATACTGATAAAAAGATACGCACAACTGCACGAACTAGCACAGTAACGCTGGTGATCGTGCGTGGCTCTGGCTAACATACACAAACACACACACACACACATGCTAGTGTTCCTGCACATGTGAATTCGCGCCAGAAACCACTTTTGAGACAACCGGGCACATGAAGCCAGCGCCCGAAGAGGTCTGATTTGACAAACGCAGTCGTTAGGGCGCGGCGGCATTCCGAACTGGAATGATGGACTATAATCCCACAGATTACGTTTCGAATTGAGGGGATGTTACAGCCTCGGTGACGGAAAAAAAAGGAGAGAAGTCAAGAAGCCTGCGAGGAAGTAACTACTAAAAGTTCAGACATCCAACAGCTACATTGTGTAAACAGTTTAGTTTGTTTGATTCAATTTTACACCGGCAGTTGGAAAGTACCTTGTTGGCAAGCCACGCTACGGTCTTTCCAAAGTCCAAATTGTAGTGAACATTTGATGCTCGATTAAGTTTAGCGGTCTAGAATAAAACCTGGTATACCGCGACAACGATATATGACAAATTTTTGCACCACTGGAATGTTCAAAAGAAGGCACTAGACAAAGATCATAGAGAAGGGAAAAGACCTTAGTGATTTCATGAATATTTCAAGAAAAATTGAAAGAACTTTCACCGCTGATTCCTATTAATTCGATTAAATTAGTGCAGCGAATGGCAGAGATATTGTGACCAATATTAAATTATGAGTATTGCAATGCGTGGAAAGATGAGCGCGATAAATCTGAAATCAACAGGGGACAGTAAGAGGCAGATTGACCGAGAGTTAAATCGATAAGCATCCACACACGTCAAAACAAACCCGAAATTTAACTAAATAACGGGGCACTCAAAAAATTCGGCTCTTTTGGCAACAAGCACCAGACGAAGTCCAGGTGATGACGCACCACACTAAGGCAGGGTGGAGACCACGAAATGGTCAAACAGTTGCCTGCGCCCGGGCTGTCACAAGCCTTTGTCGGTTAAGCAAGTTACTTTAAGTAAAAGGGCCATTACCGTTTACATTCCCCCAGAAGACATCTGGACTAGCCCAGCTAACAATGGTGCGAAGGCGGCTAAAACACCCCCGCTAAAATTTGCCCAAAAGACCCGAACAAGTCGCGCGAGAGGTGACTGTCAAAATGGGGGATGAGGCCTCCAAAAAACGCCAAAACGGAAAAATGTGCGCGTGGTTAATGGGCAGACGCATATACCTAAAAGCAAGGTACGCTAATCGGTGACAATTTATGTATGAAAAGATGTGAATAGAGGAGGATATTTATTGTTCAGGTGCCAAAATTTCAAATAAAAGTGAAATTCAGTTATGGGCCCCAAAAATGTCATGGATGTACGGAGGCGCCATTCAGGTTGCAGTGCACATATAGGACACAGATAGCAACTATGACGAGTTTCGATCCCATTGGAACAGCAGTGATAGTTATCATTGACGTTAATTCGTGAGGCTCTAACTTGCTGTAAATATGAGCCAAGACGGTCCTTCATCAAACGAATCAACCCGCATATTAAAAAAAAAGCATGAGTGCGTATTTTCGGCTTGCAGCGAAGCTGAATTCGACGGGCGACTCATACATTAAACATCCCAATCATTTTTCAAAGGGGAGTTCGCTCGTATTTAAGTCGAGTTTAGCCACATGGTACGCTAAAGCCAAAGGACCATCACATCTCAAAAAATGAGTAAGCGACGTGCCGGGGGAGAACAGTACAGGCGGAAGTCTGGAGTAGGTGTAGTACTGAACAGGAGACAGACCTCATCTGTCATTGCCCCTCCCCATCCGATGAATATGGCAAGTGAATCATAAGGCCCTCTGATTTTAGTGGGCTAGTTTCGTACCTAGCGTCTTAGGCTGTGTTGACAATCTTTATCAAGGGGTGGATGCGACACCGGAAACGCGTGTACAAAACAAAGGACGCGAAAAACGGAGGCAAGGCACTCATAACGTATGCGGATGACGCATAAAAGATGCGTATGAAGATTAATTTGGCTACTAATCCCGAGAGGATTAGTCTAAGCTACTATAAAGCTGTTATTATTTATAGGGTTATTAGCATGGACAGAAAAAATTATGATTTCAAGGAGTCTTTTTGGCTATGGGTGGGAGGGGTAAGTGCCCAACTGGAAAATATCGATTTGTAACTGTCAAATAGGTACATAAAACTGAAACGAAATCTATCAGTTCGACATTTACTTGCCTCCTCCATGAGGCAAACGAGAAAACCTACCGTTTACTAAACTGCTATACAAAACATTTCAAACACGAGGTGATTTCAGCAAAGTAAGAGAAAAGAGGCTTCGAGAGCTTACATTCCATAACTTCCTGAGGCCGCATGGGCGGTCGATTCACCCTCATCGGCGTCTTGCTCGCCAGCAGCAGAGTCAGTGCCTGGGGCAATAACAACAACGTCCTCCAACAGACTGCTGGGAGGAGCGATGGCGGCACGACTGGCGGGTGGCGGGGGCGGAGGCCTGCGTCGGTGATGCGGGCGAATTCGACGACCGCGATCTTCTCGGCCGTCGGAGTCGTCAGAACTGCCAGCGCTATCGCTGTCTGAAAGATTCGGCCGACGACTGAATCCGCTACCGTGGGAGTCACGCGTGCGATCCTAAAGGATTTGGCATTAATGCATGCAGAACTGAGTAAGCGCCCGTTTGCCAAATAACATGTGGAGTCTCAATTTCATCTCTGGAAAGGACCGTTCATAAAAAAAGTGGATTCATTCCTTACGGGAAACCATTGTTGGGGATTTATCCGAAGTAATCTACTTTATTGAAAGAGGCGACAGGTTCCAATTAACCTAAAAGGTCTCTAATTTGACGATAAAAAGGACTGAATTCATGACTATATATTCGCATTCGAATCCAAAATGGGTGACCACGTTTTATGTCATGAATCCCGAAAAAAGTAGAGAGAAATGGTAAATCCAGTACGGTTGAAAAATCCGATTTAGCGGTTTACTAATTTAATCTGTGGAGAAAGGTGGACAACTATACACGTAAATTATCATTTCAAAGTACACATGAATTAGTAACGACGCATAATTTGCCCAGTTCACAACCTCATTACCAATGAGGTGATACAGCAGCAATTAAAGCTTAAAACGCAAATTGATAAACAAAGAGCGCAGCATTCCCAGCAATTTAGCGTTGTAATTCATGCAGAATTTGAACGATCTGAACTGTTAAACCAAAATGAGGCCATATTTCATAAAGATACAGCCACAATGCAGCACATGGGAAGCAAGTCTGGCGGGAAATTTTGAATGTTAAGAACCTCGAAGGAAAACATTGTGGGAGGAATTTATGCGCTAATAAACAATCACTGGCATACACTAAACTTTAGTGGGATTAACAATTTCCACCAGTTCGAACTTACTTTGTGAATTTAACAAATTGGACAAAGATGTGGCTAGTGTGAAATGGTTCCAGCAATTGCCAAAAAAAGACGATAATGCAAATAGCAGAAACCTCGAAGTCAAGCAAATAATCCACGGATAAATGAGTGCAAAAAAGGAGAATTCGTGCCTCTCGTAAAAAGCCGCAACTTTAATTTGTTGTGAAATTGGCCCCGGTGTACGGGTTTAGCCTCTTAAGCCAGTTCCTGTCTTAAATGTGCAGACAGTAAGTTAGAGAATTTACGCCCCCTAAGCACAAAATCGGCAGATCTGTGGCAGATGTTGGTGGTAGTCGGTCGGAGTGAATTCTGAAGATTACAGTTGGTGAGGTAGGTATTGCCATCAGAAAATCCCGAGGTTATTTTGACGCCACGAGGTCTTGTGTTATCGTGGTGGGTGTTTTGAGGAGAGGCGATGTTTAGCTTCTCCGTTGCACAAAAATTCAGCATTTATGGTTTTAACGTCAATTCAAAACCCCACGGGGGATCATTGCAATCAAAACCCACCATCATCAAGACCAGAATACAGTTTGGGCAAGAGCGGTCGCTGTAGTGTTAAACACTGTTTTTTTGCATGCCAAATGGTAAATTGAATCTCCAACGCCAATTCGTTGCGCAAAATTATCTCGTTCTAGCCTGGACAAAAAGTGTACTACTGATGGTTACAAGCTGAATTTTTTTCTCAACTAAAAGTCGATGAGGAACCCACATTCCTTCTCTTTTTACCCTCTTCAGTTTACACAAACGTCCAAACGGAGACGGATAAAAATAGCTGGTTTTCTTAGAGCTTCAAAAAGAAAACATATTTGTCTAAATCAACGATCAGCAATACTTGTGGTGGCCTAGGTTTTTGCTGATGGAAAATTTCTTCATGGCTTCACTCCTATAACTAGACGTTGAGGAGCATTAAGACAAAACATCGGTAAGCTGGGGGATGGTGATTCATTGAGAACACATCTTCAATTGTGAGTTTAACGGTCCAAGTAGTTATCACGGATAGTGAGACACCGAAATCACGATTTCCCTGCAAGCATCGTTAGTGTCTGTGCAGACAAATAGGCCCCCAACAAGGCTAGTAGGCAGACGATGTGAAACTAAGCTTCAAACCAACACCTTTGTTAGTGAATGAAGCAGTGCAAGTAGCAGGAGTTACGTCTAGAACTTCAAAGTGCAAGTAAAGTGAACCTCTTTTAGAGAGCCCTTTAAATTGTCACGAAACCAAAACAGCACAAACAAGCTCAACTCACGTCTGGCTTGCGTCTATCCCGTTTCAGTCGGGCGAGCTCCTCGTAATCGTTGGGACACAGGGGGTTGTACTCATCGGGAATGCCCAGGGAGAGGCTAGGCTCGCCGTAGAGCAGACCTGAGGCCGCCGTAGCTCCTAGTTGATTGGACCCGCTTAGAGAACGCCCCGACGAAGACGACGATGGGGGAACCCGCTCCATCTTTCCAGTTACCTGATTGAAACTAAGATCGAAACCTCGTAAGGATGGGCAGATGATGTCATCAAGGATTTTCATTGGAATACTAGTTTTCAGTTACTACATCAGCCTGGACATTCCCAAATGGGGTAGCGAGGAGATAGTTAAAAAGCCCACATGGGAAGAGTACGTTTTGCCTTAAAATGACTGCAATACCTTACAAGTTGCTATGACGTAGTCACGGTAATGTTTGCATTTACGTAGGGGGTACTTAGGGCAAAATGAGCATGATTTGACTAACAACAGAGATACAGGTGTACACTCGGTAGCAGTCAGGGCCGTGAAATTTGTGATGACAGTCAAAACATGAGGCGGACACAGAAAAGTCGAAAAGCATGACTTTTAAAGGTAAACAAGGCGTGGGAGTCTACGAGCTGCCATATGGAGAAGATATAAGAATTCCAATTAAACAAAACTAAACGTACTTCATCACGGGCATAAAAATATACACATCAACAATAGCGAATGTATCTTGGCCATCGTGACCCAAATCACCAAAATTACGGAAATGCCTCTTTAAGGCGAATCTAAGATAAGGTAGATCACTCTGAAAACACTAACCGTATACAAACTTCTATTTGGGCAAAAGCTACAATGTTAAATTTTTTCCTGCAGACGCCAAACAATTTTGAAACATGCGAGTTTTCGTGAATGTTAGTAGTGCAACCACAGCTTAAAAAAGGTCAGGAAACAGTTGAAATCAAAATAAATTGTGGAAATCTGCAGAAGGCCAAGGGATAAGTAGAAATCGGAGATGGATTCATTTTTGTGAGGCGTAAACACTAGAACAAAGCCCGAACCAGCGATGAAATGAATGATGCTACATAATCCATGCAATTTTATGCAAAACTTTTGAAAGCAAAAGCGGTATTTAGGGTAAGCTACATCAAGTTACAGTAAAAGAGCATCCAAAGGAAATAGGAAAACCAACCGATAGGAACCTTCGCTGCTCGTTCCGTAGCCGCCGCCGCCGCCGCCACCACCTCGACGTTGAAGGTCGACGACAGGAGCTACAGCTGACCTTGACCCGAAGTCACCACCGCCTCCTCCACCACGACGGCCTTGAGCGCGTTTTGCAGCCATGTGGGACTGCATTAGCTTCATGCTAGGAAAACAAACTCGTTCATAGGCGCAACTATACAAATAGCAATTTAAGAAAATCACTTTGTCGAAAATCGAGATAACTGACGTCTAATAATAGATGCCCGGGTACGGTGATTCGAGGCGAAGCACAAGGAACACAACTTTCCGAGGGACGAGAAGAATCCTACCCTAAGCCATTTTTAGAAAGACCTGACACATTAAACCGTAACGATGCGAAGTCCGCGACTGCAAAAATAGCCATGTTACGGAAAGGGGAACGTGCAACCAAGACACCTTCGGTTCAACCTATGTCTGAGCTAAACGGTGACAATCCTATTCAGTAAATTAATCATGCATCATCTTTTCAGAGAGGAATTTGTCACTTTTGAAATTGATAGCATTATGCTTGCTTGCAGAACTGAAGAACTAGGGGCTGCCAAGCCTATATGGTAGACCAACTGAAGACAGTGAATCAAAAAAAAACAGAAAAATCATTTACTAATTAAACTCCACTGGCGCCAACGCGGATGTGCGTGTGTGGTGTGCATTCCAAAAAAATTATGTCTATACGCAGCGCGCGAGAGGAAAAATGACGATGGCCACGAAACTCGGGTTTACTCACACGCAGCTGCACTGACGACATACCCGAAATTGCCAATAAACAGGATGGCTTTGCGGACATCTGTCCCTGCAAGCCAAAGTTACTCAAGGGGAAAGTTGTGGCTCGACTGGGCAGCGTCAAGCATAACCAAGGAGTAGTCTCAGAAATGACAAACTGAGATTTGCAAAAGAGAAGCGAGACTAATGAAGCCCCGTCGGTCAAACCAAACCCCAAGAAAACAGTAACCAAGTGAAGGTTTTGAGGCAGACAGCATAAAAAATCCTTGCCCTAAAGTACACGATTTATGGACAGGTTAATCGGTCCGTAAACAAAATGTCAACTGTGGGCTTGGTAGATTTATTGGAACTCCGCTGCAAGACGTTAATGGAACTCCGCCAAAATAGGTCTTCACCAATGAAAATTAACCTTGACAATTCATAGGTGAGGTTCACAGGCAATGACGAAACAGTAGCCTTACGAAATTCTTTTACCGCATCTTCCGTCATGAGGAGTTAACTAAAAGCCAATTACTTGTTTAGCAAAAACATCTAATGTGTGTTATTTAGAAATTCTATTCCTGCAATTTTTCGCATATGAATTGGACTGCATATGAGAACTGAGGTTGATCAAAAAAGATCCGGACGGACGTGGTGGCGAGCATGCTTTTTCGTGCGCTATTGCAATCGCCTGCGCTTCCACACGGAATGGGCACATTAGTAAATGAAGTAAGCAAAGCGATATACAGCAAAGTAAACAGTTACTCACACATACACACAGCAAAAATTAAGGACTAGGATCAGTCAACAAGGCCTACTTATAATCCCAAGAGCAGAGAAGGCTAAAGGAACTGAGACAACTCTAATCCGCAATCCCACAAAAGGTAAGAACATTGGCTTCAATGGTAACCTACCAAGTGGATTGACCAAACATGGTAAAATGATTGCAGAAAACACTGACATGTTTCGCTACCACCAACTAAATCTCATGCCTGGTGCACCCTACCAGAAAAACGGACACCACCAGCAGCAGAAATCAGATGGACCAGACCCATATTCCCACGGCAATCCGTTCGTGTTCAGCATTCCGGCATGAGTATTTGCAAATTGGCTACAGATGGGTTCGATTGTTTGCAAACAAATTCACGACCAAATGTCAAGCTTAAAGGAACATATTACGGTGGAGCGGCAGCAGCTTATGACTGCTGAATTAATCAGCTAAGATACATAGGCATTGCAAGGAAAGAGGAAAATCCAGGCTGTTAGTGAGGCTTGCTGACCAGGCGTTTAACCAAGTTAAAAACTGGAGTTCAAAGGTGGCAGCTGAGTAACAGGGGGGAGGTTATAATGGGGCTGCCAGATTTTACCGGAGGCAATTATTATCGCCAAATACACAAGCATACGAGCTATTTCGATTGTGCCAGTGTAATGGAACTGTCGGAGGTGGTTTCGCATAAAGCACTTTAGCATGAACACGGTTCCCCAGACCATGGCACTGGGTTAGTAATTCAAGGAAGGGTCCAGAAAGGGAACATGGACATTGCGCAGTGACAATCACGGAACCTTCGGACGCCGGTTCAACTCCGAGTTACGAAGGTGGCATTTGGATAATTGCAATACAAGCTTCGATGATAATCCAGTCCCAGCGGAAACAGGATAAGAGCAAAGTTTGATAAGATGTAGATAACTTTAAGGAAAAACTCACCTCGAATAGCCTCCGCTGCCTCCGGGACCAGCAGCATTGCCTGAAGCCGCCGCGACAAGACGGCCGATTCCAGTAGTAGTGGTCGAACCTGAAGAGGGACCCGAAGTACCGCCCAAAACCCATCCCCCTGAGCCGCCACTGCCACCTTTACTAATTTCAACGTCATCTAGTCCATCGTAAAGACTCGACGTCATTGCTACAGTTACTAAAATGGCGAAAATTAAGGTAAAAGGGAGTTTAAAACCGCCATAAAATTTAGCCAAAGGCTTTTCCGACGCCGTTCAAGGAATAAGTAATGAGGCCATTCAAAGTGATTCACCTCTTGCGTTTAGTAGCAAGACGCCCAAACAGATGAATCTGGACGATTAGCAACACCACAATTTTACGCATTTTTGAACCATGAACCTGTAGGTGAGTTTTAAGCCCCATAGAAATGGACTTGTGGAAAATACTAGCTAGGCAAGTGTAAACACATTTGAGGCAGTGATTTTCGAAAAATGGACAGATTCAATGCTACTAAAATGCCATAGGTAATCTTGCATAAGGATGCAATATTACAACTAAGACCAAAATTTTACAAAAGATGCATGTTACTCTGAGACGTGGCATTTGTTTTGCAATTCAGCTAGATCAAAATTAAAAGTTCAGAGCAAGGAGACAACCGTTCAAATGAAAGAATCAACGCCTATAAAACTAAAGGATTTTATTAACAAATATTTTATTATTAAGAAAATATAATCACAGACTAAATTACAATTTGACATTGGTTGGTTTACATTGGACAGGAATAAATTTACGATTCCAGTGAAAATGGAAGACCTGGAGAAGTCTACCATGGCATTATAAGACGTCTGAGTCCTGCTCTTGATGTGATATCGAAGCACTTTCATTTGGCTGCACAAGAACAGAGGTTAGACTTCGTCTCCAGTGGTATTGAGGTGGGCAGTCTGTTGAGCGTCGCCAAGGTCTGGTGCAGACTCAACGGAAAAACCCTCTCCCCCAGTTGCCTCAGGGTGGCGCAACAGCCCTGAAGAAATAGCAGAAGCATTCGGGTCGAAACAGAGCTGGATATCACAAGACGTCTTCAAGTGAGTAGAAGAAGCGCCCGATTTATCATCGTGGGAGACAGGAGACTCCTCTGTAACAGCGGTTTCACGCCTTTCCTCGGTATGACAAGCGACAGAAGAGGCTCCTTCAGGATTTTCATCCGGAGTTGCTTCTACGAAGTTAATAGGCATTTCAGTCCTGTCATCATTCGCGGGTTTATCCGACTGCGTAAACGGAGGCTCGCCAAGGGCACTATCGCGCTTTGTGGCCGGGGGCGTACGGGAGGCGAACTGGAATTCCGGTTCCTCTTCTATCATGGCGGATGTCACAAGGGTACTGTCAACTACCTCGTCTGAGACTTGGTGCTCCAGGTGACTGTCCCCCTCCGCATGGTTAGGCAAAACGTCGAGTTGTGTAGTCTTTGGTTGAGTGGCGCCACAGCTCACCTCTGTGAAAAGACACTCAGCACTTGGAGTTGTCGGTAGAGCATGTGTGGGCATTTGCTCTAACGCTGTCCGTTCATCTGAATCGTGATGCTTAGTACATTCCGATTCAGCCTCTCCTGTATTTAAATTGGAATGAGGCACCGGCTTATGTTGAGGAGGGAGACAAGAACTCTGAATTGCATGATTATCAATAATTGCTGTTTTAGATGGTGTGTTTTCACTCCAGCTGGCAACATTAGACCCATCGACTTGGTTTGGTTGGAGGGAAGAAAGCAATGCACCCTCAGCGACAGCGGCTGAAGTCGTATTCGTGCAGTCTTTGGGCTGATTAGATGACAGGGGAGGCGTCTTATCAACTAGAGCGCTCGATTTGTGCCCAACGGGAGCAGTGGCGGGCGAGGCACCCTCGACGACAGCACCGCCCTTTTTTAGGGCCCGGTAGAGCCGGACATTTTCGCTTTCGGATGTTGTTACTCTCTGTCCGTCCGGTACAATCTGTAAAAAAATGCGGAAGAGGCAGTGAGGGATTTCTAAATACCGCGTCAAAAATATGCGTAAGATAATCACTTATGAGAAGCTTACCAGAGAAAATCTAGGGCCTAGCAGATCGAGCACATTGCGGCGATAGTACGGATGATCACAAATCGGATTTCCCATTAATTCTAACGAGTTCAGATGTGGGAGATTTCCCAGGTACGTCAGTTCTGCGAACTACAACAAGCACACAAAAACATTGATGGCTACTTACAAAGAAATAAGTAGGGTTTTAATATAGATCTCGCCTACAGAGTCGATCTTGTTGCCGGACAAATCAAGATGCTGTAGACTGCACATGCCATCCACAATTGAAGCGGAGCGCAAACCGTTATTTGCCAATACCAGAATTTGCACTTCTCCGAGACGTTCACGAAGAGGTTTGAGGGGAACAGCACGCTTCCACCGCTCAGTTGAAGACTCGCTGGTTCCCGCGGAAATGGAGGTCTTGGAAAGAGCCAGACCCTCGGGCAAATCAGTGGCATCAGGAGGAAGCAGCTCACAGCCTTCGTTGTGGACGAAGTTAGACTCCTCTCCAATGTAAAGTTGGTTATCCGAGAGATAAAGCACGCGGAGAAGCGGAAGAGACGTGAGTGAGGCGATTTCCGTGAGCAGGTTGTTAGAAAGGTTGAGAATTTCGACGTTGGGCAGAAGAGCCTGAAGATTGCGATAAATTATCATAAATTGAGGCGGATTCACGTTTAAATATAACTGTGGAGTCTTAGACAGCAAGATAACCAGAGAGGGAAATTGAATTTTCGTTCAAAAAGGAGGCTTTCCAGTGGGCAGCTGTTAAATACACCGGCACTCACGATTGTTTGGTCAATGAGATGAAGGAAGTTGTTAGAAAAGTTCGCGATCTTGATCTGATCCCAGGGGAGCGTCGGGATCGGGTTTTCACCATGCACCCAATCACCGTCGCCCACCGCGAACAGGTCACCCAGCATGAGGTTCTAAAAAAAGCATTAAATGGAGGAACCACAAAAGAAGCGAACAACAACTAACACCAAGTGGTAAGTCAGGATACCGAAAATGGAAGTGATGCACATTTTACTATCGGCCATTTAAAAGCAAATCATTGCACTAGCACGAAACGTTTACCTACAGAGGTCTTCAGCCGCTGAATTATTTAAGAGAAACATCAAAACTCGTTACAAAACACTTTCAAGCACAAATGAGTGAATCAGAAAGGTTATTGGCTGAGATGGATATTTGATTGATTAGCAGGACGAGAAAAGAGTTGGCTTGTATGAAGCAAGCTATATTAGCATTAAATTTATCGCAAATAAAACGAAGCTATTGCTTGATAATGATCACTTCCGTTGACAGACGCGTTGCAGTCTAATTAGGTTAAAAACAACCTACAATTGCTGGGCAACACAAAATAGCATGTCCACTACTACTACAATAATACTAGTGTGTTGTAGAACCTTATCACTTCGGAGGAAATTGCTGCGGCAAACTTATTTCAGCCGAATTGGAAGTGGGCAACAAGGCCAGGAAACTTCAATGCAATGAATGGCTTACCTTGAGGTTCTTCAGACTGTGATGGACGGTCAACTGCGTGACAGTAGCCTTGATGTGCTCGAAGCCTCGCATTCGCCTCAGATCAACGTTGTTTAACTAAAAAACAAGCGAAAATAAGGAGTAGGAAATTTAACAAATGTAATGCAAAATGATACTGACTCCTCGGCTCAATAGGTGCAAATGAAGTCGAATCAAAGCTCACGCTTCCGCCGACACAAACTAACAAATTACCCTGAAGAATCTGTGTCACTGTTACCCAATGGCTTTTCACCTTTTCAGCAACACTACGCGATCTGCAATCCGTTAACGATTTCCAAATTGAAAAATCTGATAAATCATCGACTAGGAGAGTTAGTAAATTGAAGAGTAAATGAGCAAGGACCGAATCACCTCACCTCCAAAAACTGAAGGCCTCGGAACGGCGACATGTCAAAGGTCAGGGTGTTTATGGCGATGTTGCTCTTGTGGAGCTTATCAAGCGAACCGAGCAACTAAAACGAGAAAACAATGGGTCAGTGCAAAATAAAACAGCTGTTTTCCGTGGATTGCAAGAAAAATGCGCAATGTAACTTTTTGATCATTGTAAAGCGTCGAGTGCTTGTTAAATCCGTCCCCACAATTTGCCCGACAAGCGAACTTAAAGTTGGATATAAACGTTAGATTTCCCTCCACATGTAGACACGAGTTGAGGAAAATTTCCCATATGAAGGTGGGCACGGGTCGATGCCTCCACATTCCTTTTGGTTCATGAACAAAAAGTAAAGACAGCGAAAACAGCCTCTGTTCGAAAGATGAAACACTGGATGAGAAGGCTTTTTGAATGTCTTTTGTATAAAGGATTACCATAAAGTGCATATGAAGTTACACTACAACACGCTCCGTCTAGTCCTGAAAGGAGGATTATCCTGCTCGACTCCGATTGGAGCAGTCTTTGCAGGTCGATTTTCCAGTCGAGACGGTTGTTCACCACAAAAAAATCTAAGCATGTTAAATTGGCAATAGACGAGATCAATACACCCGAAATCTCGACAAAAAACATTAAATTAATAATAAAAGATGACATGGTACGTTTTACGGGGACAATTACGGAAGAACTTATTGCGAAGGCAGATATTTTGACTTAACATGAGCCCCTTAATGCAGATACATGACTCCAGGTCTTTAAATTCTAAGGATTCTGTGTTTCCCTTGTCTTAAACAATATTAAACCTACGTTTTGTCATTAACACTAAATGAACCAGACGAATTATCCTGAGTTCCGATATAAAAGTGCGTACTTTCGCAAATCGGAGATTTAGCCGTTCTTCAGTTGACAGAGATCACGAGAGATTAAGGTAACCGGATTAAGGGGAAGAACCTCGGCGAACTGCTGAGCAGGAAACCCCACCGCCAAGTGACGTAGACTGATGTGTCTGAGACAGTCCTTCGAAAACCGCAAGTGGCCATAGCAAGTGTTCGCAAATACCTGACTTTCAGCAGCGCAGACTGCTAATTCCTATCCACGGGCAGCAATGTTCCATACGGCCATTTTCGCTTCATTTGACATCTTCGGTGGGTTCGTTAACATAAGCTTATTCGTGCAATTTATGCTTGGCCCCCCAAAAAAACGACTAGGTTTAGGTTCATATCCAAATTATCTATTCACTAGGATCGCAAAAACGGGCTACGTCCACCATTACCGACAGCAAAATTGAAAATTCAAGAAAATATGACGTACGTAGTGAAAGGACTTACTTTAAGGCGCTTAACCCGAGAAACGAAGTCAAGAACACGGCCAAAATCTTCGTTCGGTCTATTAAAAACTAAAATGAATGGAGAAGGGACGGTAGCAAGGTTAAAGTAACGCAAGTTTTACTTGCGCCGATAACAAGGGAAAAATTCGTATGAAGAATTTCAGCAGCGAGACTAACGTAACTGTCAAAGTAAGGAGGAATTTGTAGCAGTTGAACGAGTAAAGATAAATCTGCATTAGGATGAACCCTAAGAACAACCGGACAAGAGTCTATGTTTATTACGTTATTACTATTCTACATTATCGACAGCAGTGTTAAAACCGCGAAACCTTGAAGAAATGTACTACGTAACTTCACTCAGTCTACAAATTAAAAAGAAGACGCATGGAATCGAAAATGAGGCTTTTTCCCAAATATTTGTGCGTGATATGAATGAGGCGGTACAAATAAGCTTAACACAAAAAAACTTCATTTGGTTAGGCGCAAACGTAAGCGCAGCGAGCAAACGACAGGACTGATACTACTTCAGCGACATTGAAGACATATCAAATTCCTCTGCACGAAGCTATATACTAATCTGGTGGATTTACCATCGCCAAATTTGCTTCCAGAAGACATCAGTGTGCGACAAAACAGCAAACAATCACGTACGATTTAAAGAAACAGGTGAGATCATGCGTTTATTGATTGCGTGCAGCTGATAAACGTGCATGACAAAGACATCATTGGAGTCCAAGACGGTGTCACCTAAAAAAAAGAAGTGATGATTCGTATTGTACTTATTTGACAGCCTTTTCCAATTCCATTTCCCACATTTATTTTTCATGATTCCAAGAGCAACTCACGGCTTGATTCACAAGGAAGCTTGATAGGACTACTTGTTGGTGAGTTGGTTTGTAAATTTTGCGGGTCTTTTGAATAAAAAAAAGCAGCCTTTCGTTTTGTGAATGCGCGAGCGTAACGATGGAGAGACGTGACGGAAACCGAGTTATAAAAGCGGAAAATGACGACCAGTGGCACCAGCTATTAAACTCCAAGCTAAAATATTTACGAGGCAATGTTGTGCCCTTTCCCAACACACCTTCGGAAAACCAAAGGCAAGCGGAAATGTAGTACAGCAGTCTTTTGAATGTGTGGGCGGAACGGAACCTCTAATGATCAAATTCACGAAGTGACAATGCAGAAAGGTGGGCGTTCTGAAAAAGACGCAGATGAGAACCTGATGGTTCAAAGTTAGAGGGGCGAGAAGGGATGAAGTAAGACGTCAGAATTACACCAAATTGGTCTTTGGGAGGCTGCCATACCCGAATAGGTCATCATCCTCGCTCAGCTATGGAGACATTGCCAGCCCAATTCAGGCAACTGGGTTAAAAGTAGGCAAACGGCACCCAAATTCCTCTTTGCTCTGCATGTGAAAGATGAAAGCAAGCAACCAAAAAACTGTGCAGCCCGTTGTGTCCTGTAACACGGGGCATTTTCATTCAATGTTGTTTCCGCCTGTTCACCAGTTTCCACCCAAATACTGATCAGTTTACTATCTACCGTTACGACAGATCCTTCTAAACTAGTTGACAGATTTGCTTACGGCATCTTCTTCGTACACTGTCAATTTAGTTTATAGCTCACACAGAATGTCTCATCGTAAGAAAGCAGAATATCAAAGGTGAAGGTACAACGTTCGAATAAAAACTAGCACTAAACTCCGGCGAAAGCAAGCTAGCGCTTATTCCTCTATGAAATGGCTATCAACGATTACGACGCTAATATTAATAGTGCACCGATGGTTTACAATACAACTAAAGCAAACTAGGGCGATGTAAATGAAGGTTGCTGAGTTTTAAATGTGAATTAACGCCATCTCTGACTTCCAGTGAAAAATGCAGTAGAGATCTCCCCAAAGTTCAGCAAGCTTACGTCCGGTGGTCTGACAAAGTGATGACATGCAGTAAATTGCCAGGGAACTGTGATATGTTTGTTCTGCTGCTTTTATTATGAAAGGTGTTAGTTTTAACATCGTCTGGAGTTATAAACCGCTCTCTAAATGCGACAAATGAACAGAGAGTAATAACATGTGATTTTATTTAAACGAGTAACGAGAAGAGAGGAGCTCGAGTTCCTTCTACCTTGAGCAATTAAGTGCTGTTAAAATTTCGGTCTGAGAGCCACAAAATTTCTTAAAATTGATGTTATGAAGAACGTGTCCAAGCGAGAACTAAGTGTAGGTCCACACGAGAGGACAGAAGTGGTGTGGGCATTTTTTAACGATGATGAACAAGTACGTAAGTGCTCTCAATCACATCTGCACATTTGAAAAATAAATCACTTACCATCCTTGGCCAACTGTCGGGCCAGACAATTTGTTATGCCATGAACATCCTAAAAGACAAATAGCCGTTTACCTCGCATGAGAGGATTAAAGCAAAAATAGAGCTTATTGGCAGTCTTAAATGTGATTTAAAGTTGTAGAAAGAGACGTGTGTAAAAATTAATCCGATAATAACACCACATAACGTTACGCTATACCAAGGCGATTATTAGTGAGAGCAACGACAGATGTTTCAGTTCTCGATCTTCATTGAATCTTGAATAGGGTGCTTTACTTCAACTAGCATTAAAGGCAAATAACTAAAAAACGCGTTTGATGGCACACAAAAATGCAATTTAATGTGTAAATTTACGACTTGTAATGCCATTTTTATGATACGCTACATAAACGAGGTGTTAAGTTTTATGGCAATACAAATAAGATGCTCGATTTTCTGCTCGGTAGTCCTGTTCACCAAAGTTGGTCAAGGATGCCATACAATTTGTGTCAACAGTTCACATCAATACAATACAATAATAAATTACTACGGCATTTTATAACTTCGACTACAGCAGGGAGTGACGACAACATTCCGAGGGACTCCGTGCTAGTTCACTAGAAACCTAAGGTCTGATACAAAAAACATTTTCCGAATTCACATAAAACTCATTTGAAGGACATGGCATTGTTACTAAAATCTTAGTTCGTGGAAAACTACGAATAGTTTTGGATAACCATATCAACAGAAAAACCCACATATCTTTCCCAATCAATAAAATCAGCAAGTGGAGGCGGAGGGAGAGTGTAGTGGGTCAGAAGGCCGTTTAGAAAGGCCTCCAATTCAAGACCGCGTTGATGCACAAAAGCAAGGGAGAGGTTATTAAATAGCCTTTTTGCCGGCATTCTGATCGACTGGCTATCTGGCAGGGCATAATTTGAGTGCAACTGTAACGAGATAAACAAGTTAATGTCCGAGGGTCAAAATTATTACCGTCCATTGATAGCATTACATCATGACGAATTCTAGTTCTGCTTTAGCTACAGTCTCATAAAGGACCTAGAAAAGGTTAAATTACCATCTTTACTGAATATTTGCAAGTGAACTAAATAAAACCGCTAACTCAGGGCCTTTTCGTCAGCTCGAAGTTTGCTAAGTAGTAATCAACCCATGGAAACTCTGGCAAAATAAGCAGGGATAATCGTGGTTGCAATCCAGCAAAGCCGGTCTGAAATGTAAGGAATTGAAGAATTTTAGGAATCTATCAAAACACCTCAAGTCGTAAACAGACCAGGCTACATGGTCGCTTGACCATAAAAATATTTTCAACGAAGGACTATGTCGATTTCGAATAGGGATGCTACGTTTTATACTCTGAAAGCCTAACTAGAGATAGCACCGGTCTCAGAATGCATCCCCTAAGAGCCCATGGTAACACTGGTCACTGGGAATGTTTTTTTACGAAGTTGATTTAAGTCTCAGCGTCATGGTAGCCGACAAGATGACGCAATATACACGATTTCGTCTAAACATTCACAACAGGCATTCATCGCACAAACTGATTTCAACTTTAAAACGCATCAGCGTCCAATTAGGCAAAAAAGCGTTAGCGTTTGTCAGCTGTAGGAGGGTAACTTGAGAGGTTATTTTGAAGGAATGTTGCAGCGGTACTTTTACCCACGCAGTGAAATTTAGGGTTGGGATATGAAGGCGCCACCATGACAACGAGGAAGCTGAGTGTGGGGGAGCGACTATCTCCTAATCAGACAGTCCAGCAAAGTTGCCAGGCTGATTAGGATAGACGGGCGAATGCCGTCGGGATAAAAATCGTACGCAAATACATATAATGGTTACTGATTGGACGGTGATTAGGAATAAGCAGGAGTTTATTTGGTTTGCGAACCCCCGATTTTCTTCTGCATGTAACGTTGGAACACACCGAAAGAGGCCTTGAAGTTAATCAGAAAATGCTGAGGTGTAAGCAACCGGATACTAAAAATTACTGCATTACCAACACAAAAGTGTGATGAAAATTTGCTGCGAAGAAATGCCCGCGTTCGACCTATAACTAAGCTATTCACCGTTGTGTTACAGTCTAAAGTATTCCGCACACTAGGAGAATCACATTTACACAATAGCCACATGGACACATTTAACAATGAACGGTCATCAATTATAGTGAGCTACTAGTAAACAGATTCTGTCGCGGCAAATTCGATGAGGTCGCATATGTGGAAATAACAGTCAACAAAGGTCGGAAGCAAAAGTCATATAAGAGATTGAGAAGAGGCAGACGATTCCTCCTCAATAGAGTCGTTTACAGTCATCAAAATGAAAATTTTAACTAGACAACCTTATTCGAAAAGTTCTCTGCATTGTTTCTCGTCTGAGAAATAAAACGGAATATTATAGAAGCAAAAGCTTCATATATGACAATGGATTTGGCAATAAAATGGACCAAACTTGGCACAAAGATCAAGACATTTACACGGCGAAGGCCAAAAACAAATTCCGCAGAAAACTTACGGCCTTTCGAAGCTCGTTGAATTCACGATACCTTCTCGTGACGCTCCATGTGTGACCCCTCGGGTGATTCAATTTAATATCATACTCCTAACACCAGAAAAAAAGCATTAATAGGCCAGAAATAAGTTTGTCCAGATTACTAACACGGTTCGCAGAGTAGACTGGTTACCCGTCTCACAGTAACAAACATTCCAGTAACAAAGGCGATCACAACCATGGAAACAAAGTAGCATTGATGAACCAGAAACTGGTCCCTGATTGTTAGAATTCCAACTACTCTTGGGTTACATTATACGATAGTTCGGAAACTGAATAACGACAAAAAAGCCACACGAGCTGGAGAAAATGTCTGGTCACCTGCTGCAACTGACGAAATACTACTGCTTGAGAGGGCTATCAATTACGACACAAGTCAAGCTTTCGGCCCTAGCATCATTATTGAGGGTTAGTGTTAAAAATATAAATTCGGTAAATTTCAGGCCAATTTTTAGGACGTATGCTATCCACACCAAATTGCAAATTTTGTACCCACTAGGGTAGATTTTTAATGGAGACTGTCTGCATTCACAAGGGAGCAAAATAAATTATTTAACGGGAGAAATTAGGCGCGATTGTTTCCTACTGGGATGTAAAGCAGGATTATTTTACATTGATTTGGAAGTAACTCAGAGTCTTATATGGTTCATATCATAAACCATGACTAAGAAAAGCTAAGGAGAACATAAAAAATGGAATTCTCAAGTCTTGTTCAGAGATCCCATGGATATAACTGCGATGTGTGCAGTCTTCGGTGCATGGAACCAGTCAAGTAAGATCTATCCACAAAAAAGGGCACTGACTCCCGCAAAATTGGCTAGAAAAAAAGCTACGCTGGTATCCGAACGTAGACCTGAGTGAACTCACAACATGGTCACCCAACAAGCAACGTTGAATGACAGCCGAGAGACATCCTTTGCCAGTCTTCACTGTTCCATCTTCGTTGAAGACTGAATCAGCAGGAATTCCATCATTTTGGAGACAGTCAACCATAAGAACAAATTTTGAAACAAACGATGAGTGCTAGGCACTTCTAGACGTTCTGTAATGTTAGCAAAAATCCAATCAATCACCTATAAGGCATAAACCCGATGTTAGCTACCACCTAAAAGCCTCTGCGCACACATTACCATGAAATTGGTCGTCAAATTTTAATTTGGGTTAACACTACGATTATTCCCTTCACCCATTAAACAGTACACTGTAACGTCCATGCACAGTAATTTCGCAATATTTTTGTGCTCTATTTTACTCGATTAAAATCTCCCGTCTGCCCGGTAGTCAACTCTTCTCCCTGGAATTCCAAGTACAGATACTCGACCAAAAAATATTGCCATCCTTAACAAGGCCTGGATTAAAAGATGAAAAAAACGTAGTAAATTTGTAAAACATTTAGCTAAATCCATAGTGGCGCGTGGTTTGGTATCACCCTTGCATAGAAATCGCAATACTGTGTCAGTTATTAGTTGTCAGAGGATATGGTATGGTTCCACGGCAATGACTTGCAACGCACCACCTTCCAAATACCCGTGAAGGCCCTACTTAAATACCTCCGCGCATTTATAAGAATAAACCAAGATGGCAACTTAGAGACGTACTTTCAAATGAACGATTAAATTTGATTAAGCAGAGTTGAAGAATGCTAAAAAGCGACTCTACATCTCACTACTGAAGAAGTAGCATGAAATCAAGTCACAAACCAACAAATAAAAGGCTAGGTGAAATAACTAAGGTGCGGGACTTTGCCTCATTCTGTAAAAAATAGAGCAAAACAAGTTACGCGAAGAGATATAACACCAGCACACTTCATTTTTGTAAAACGTCCGATTATACTATATAGGGCCGTACCCCTGAATCCCATTTATATAGACAATGATTTGCGATACGTACGAGTTAGTGAAGGAATGCTACACTAAATGACTGGACAAACAATAAGCAAGATAAAAAAGACGAAACAAAAACCAGCACAACTGCTATTTCCGTTAATGCAAATCATGAAAGTAGTCGGGATGGCCTAGAATTGCAAAAGCAAGACCACTCAACAGTTAACTCCCTTACATTTGTGTTAATGTATCTATCGAAAAGGATAGCGTCAACGTCTTGTACGTAATGCAGCATATAAGAGGAGACATGGCATAACACGACCATACCATCCCCATATACCTTCCACTGCATATCTTTATGTAAAATAAGCATACAGTGAAGCCCTAATTAAAAACAAAGTACATGCAAGGATACAAATGCATTTCTGATTCGTTTGTACAGGGCAAGATGGTCAACATGGAGGGTTTCAAGTTTGTGGGTGTCTATGCTCACTCCATTTTAATGGATTGCCTAGACAAATGAAAGAGCCCGAAGCAAGGGGAGTAGGAAATCATTACGTTAAAAAAGAATTAGAAAATAAAATTCCCAAAGGACTGATAGAGTGAGTTGGTAGGCTGCACAAAGGCTGATGCAGAGAAGGAGTATTCTCAGAAGTATATATACATATAAGCATGGAGAGAAGCAGTCAAAACCATCAGACCGAGATTTCAAAAGTCCCATCAGGCGCCTCCTCCGAGGAAATGATAGTCTGAGAATTTTGGAGAGGCTGTTGAGCGAAGCGGTAGTCAGAAATTGTCTGTGGCGATATATGGAAGCCTTCGTTTGTGGGCGGCAAACTGTATGGTTGCTGACGGACCCCATGATGCTGCGGACGTTTATCCTTCAGCGGGCCTCGAGCAGTCGCAGAGTGAACGGGAGTCCGTGCCTGTTTGATTGGATACTTTGAAAAACCACCACCAACAACAAACGAAGGCATTTGCCTACGGCGGGAGGACTGGGCGTCCAACCTTGGAGAGCCATCAAAGGTCTTAAGTCGGGAAGACGAAGAGGTAACAAGATTTTTCGGACCAAATAACACCTGTTGACGTGATATGGGGACTTCTTGAGTTCCGGTGCGAATGGATGAGGAACGGCTGGGTAGATGCGGTGGCACAAGTGGTACACTGCCCGGTGAAGAGTATGGAATTGAGGGGTTGAAATCAACTTGATGACGATTTAAGAGATAATTTGTCTGTGATGACTGACTCTCCCCAACGTGCTTACAAGAAAATATCCGCCCACTGGACTCGCCAAGGTTGACATCATTTGGGTTCTCGCTAGGGCGATAAAACCCAGTCGGCAATTTCTCCGAATACATACCCCCAGTTCCCTGGTAGGGGATGTTGGGGAATTTCGGTTCGTCTCTTTTATTGGTCAAAGAAAGATTAGGTGTATGCGTTAGGGAGTTATCTTCATTATTGCACCGTAGAAGAAGGTCCTTGGGTGAGCACGAGGAATTATTGTCCACACGACTGGACAACTCTGACATCTTAACAATGGGATAAGAAGCAGGAGCGTTATTCTTGTTAAGTTGTTGCACGTCCGCTGCGACCACATCCACTTTCTAAAAATAAACGTTAGGTTTCAATGTGTCCGTTTTAGAAAACAATGTGGTGAGAAAACAGACATACCCCGTTAACAGCATTCACGCGCAATTCTTTTCTAGACCGTCGCTGCTTTTGCCGATATTTATCTTGCAAATTAAGTTGCATTGCCGCGCCAGTTACGGGTTTCCTTATGAGTCTATAGTACCAATAAACGTCAACCTAAAGCATTTACAGTGGTCCAAGAGGTCTGCAGCACATGTAGTTGCAGTTGCTACATAGCCCATGGTCAAAAGGACTGCGACTTTCGCCGTACTTTGAGGTTACCTGATAATATCAATGCGTTAATGGGAGAAAGTCAAAAAAATTCTAAGTGTTTCAAGTTGTTACCTGTTCATTTGTCGTCAAGCCATTGAAAACAAGGTATATGTGAAATCCGGTAAGTCCCATCACTGGGATAAAAATAAGGCCTACAAGAATAAGAATTACATTCCTAATACAGGAGTTATTTTGTAAAATCAAGTTACGCTATGATTCCCTCAGTTGTCATGAGATTTTGCTGTCGTTCCAGTACGAATAAAAGGGAGATGGTAAAAGTCATAATCATGTGAAAGGTGAGGGAAAGCAGAAAGAGGAAGAAAAACCGGTAATTTCGCCTTCCGATACAGTTATTTACCCAAGGACAGTGATGATCGAAAGTCTAAAACGTGTGCATTTAAAGAAATCTTACGTCTATACAATGTTTGCAGATGGAGCAGTGGGAGCAACGAGGCAACCGGTAAATTTCGCAGGTGACACACCATTTCAGACGAGTTGATATGCCATTTATCTGTACAGTTTTATACATGAGTGGCCTGGGAGGCGATGACTTATCATTAACCATCACTTTTTCTCCAGGTACACCTAGTTGATAAATATACAAAAGAACTTCTTACCCCGGGGTAAGTACCCAGGATCCATAAATGTAGCACGAGCAAAGTTGGAGATCACATTAAAAAGCAAGACGGACTGAAGGGTAATAATGACATAACCATGTGTCTGGCTAAATTCCCAGCAACTAAAGGTTTAACATGAATAAGTGAATCATACACGAATATGAGATAAAGAGAAGAAATTGCAAAAAGTAAAAACCAAGAAACCAGAGCGGGCCCAATATTTCTTGAGAAGAATGCGTGACAACCCATGTCGGCACTAAGAATTAGGCGACATCAGATCAACCTTCGGCATTTGTCAAATCGCGCGCTCAGTTCATATAAGGCAGTCAAACTACTCAATATAGTAAAAGAACTCCTCCACTTTTTATTAATTTAATACTCAAATAACAAACCACAGGTTAGTTTATAGCACAAACTATAGCTCTAACGTGTTTTAGCAGTTATTATCTAGATTCTTCTCTAGTAAAACCCACTTAATGAAAAACTCTGAATTTGCAAATGTGGATAAAGCGCAAATGCTGTAAAGTAGCTTCAGATAACGAAACATGTTGATACATGCATCGATTAATTATTAAATTTGCCTATTGATGTGTTAAACAGTCATGTTTTCCCCTGAAGTCTGGACATTTTTTCAGTTTAAGGTCTTAGAAATAATGCTAAGGTGCTTTTTTAATTTAGTTCTTATTTACTAGTCTTCGCTTTTTTGGCACTAGAACCTTAAAGTGACGTTGTTTACTTATTACGCTACCAAGATCGAAGTCTCTTGAGCTTGTTTAGTCATGTAATAATCCCACGTTTGGAGCGTCCGTTTCTTCCCTTACTACTAAACTGCTAGATTATTCTTAAGTGGTATATTTTGATGTTTCCAAAAATTCTTTGGCCGTTGAGTTCATCCGATGCCATTGGTCATATCTTTTTTTGGCTTTCTCAATTCGCTTTTATTATTCTCGAACCGTCAAAATGTGTCAACAAATCCAATAATCAAATGCACCGTAAACCATCTTGCAATCTAAAATACGTAGTTTAAATCTTTAGTGCAATCTCCTAAACACTATGGTAACAGATTATTTTGATTAAATAGATTTCTTTTTAGCGTAGTGGTACATATTCCTTTGCTCGGTCATTTCTTCCTTTTCACACATCTTTTCTTTCTAGGATACGTTTTTTATCTTTCCTTTTTGATACATTTACCTTATTTAATTACACTTAAATCATATGGAGACTCGAGGCTTACCTAACGACTCTGTTGTGATAATTCCTGGCTGATTTATCTTTTATTTGACTGTAATTTATTGTGGACACGCATATTTCTGCAACTTAATTGCTTGTGGTAGCACTTTTGTGACAAGTTTTTGAAGTGATGCCAATATATGTTAATGTGAAATTCGAACATAATTTTATAATTGAAGTCAGTAGTAATACTTCTTTTTAACGGGGCTACGCTAGCAGAGGATGTGTGCACCCATCTTTTATAATTTCATTATTGTATAAGGAGAAGTTTCCGCGAATTCTAAGAATGACATAAAACATTTCAATATCTACAAATTTTCACACGCCTAATGGGGAGTGTCCGCCTAAACTATATTTTTTTCCCTTTTGCGGCAACATTCACATATCAAAGCTTCCTTGCCTTGTGATTAAACAATTATATGGTTCTAGGTTGTACATTTCAAATCAAGTTTCAAGCTTAAATAAAATGGTTTTTTTAACGAAAGTCACGCTATTGTCAAATGTCTTTAAATAAAATCGGACAATATAATATTTTGTTAATTATTTAGACCTCGACAAAACTAACCGACTTCTATGAATTTTACTCAGAAGAAAGATCAATGCAATTTAGCTGAAAAATTATAAGTAATTGCTTTCATTTGCAATTATTTTAATCCCATTTTAATGCAAGCAGTCTTCTCAAATTCAAACAAACATTCCGATGGGAATAGATTTGTCAAGAAAAGATCAGGTGGGGTGATTTATGCCTAACCTTTCTGACATCTGGCCTCAATTAAGTTAGGTAGCAAGATTTTGCACTAACACACTTTGATTAAAATATTTAGACTTGCAAATTTGTATGCTAGATTGATAGCATATCTTACCTTTTAGATCATTGTTTTCTTACAGCTCTTACCGGCGATTCAGCAAGGTAATTCTACACTTTTGAAGTAGTGTCTGGGTTATTTAAGTGTTAATTTGGAAACATAATGCAATTTTGCTGATTTTAGTAAAAAAAACGCAAATTTTTAATCATCACAAAATTAGAACGAGACCAGAATCGACAAAAATAGCGCTTACAGATCGCAAAAGATTCCATATCCGTCGGGAAAAGTACGCATATTTACAGCTACTTTGAACGGTGCATTTAATGCATCATTAAATACGTTTGGCATACCGATTTCTTTAGGGGCTCGAAACTTATAACTGAGGCTACCGAAATTATGAATGTCTCCTCATCACCGGGACCATCTTCTCTACCTGTCAGCTTACCGTTTCATGCAAAGTCGTAAATATACAATGACTGATTGTGAACTTGCATTATTGTATTCAGAACTGACAGATGGCAAATGTAAACGTGATCGGAAGACTTCTTTGTCAGTGAAAAGCAAACATTTAGTTAAAAACTCATATTGACATCAGATGTTGGATCGTCAGACAGGTGCTATCGTCGCTCCGTTGCAGACGAAATCGACTGATTGCCGATGCCAGTTTTTAAAAGTAGCGCATCGGTAGCAGCGCATGGTTGAGGATTGTCCAGTATATTGCATTGAACGAGAATCATAGTTATAATCACGTACAGTAGGGAAATAAATCAAATATGTAAATACGGCCGAAAGAATACTTAGATTGCAGCGATCTGCTGAGATGACAAAACAGACGTTGAGAGTGGTGTTTGATAGACTCCGAATGAACCCATATTGAGTCACGCGTTCAGGCTTGGCATTTCCCTTGGAGCATCGAATTGGCGCAGTTTGTCCAAAACAGTCTGCACAAAAGCCTATGATTAAAACACGACATGCGTTACCTCAGATACCTAAAATCTTTGCTATTTCGCACTGACAGACGCCTAATATGTGACTTATTAAATAGTCTTTGATAAATGAGCAAGTACATCTTTCAAAGAAGTCATTTTGCATGCGCACTTTCATGGCATACTTCTTAAAGCACTCACAAGTGTTTTCTTGCTCGGATTTTGCAAACAAATCAGTATTTTGAGCACTTTCTGTTTCCTATTTCTCTATAAATCCTTTAAAATGTCCTGAGAAATATAAAATGCGGCACACATTACGGGCGACTTCGGTAAGTTTTGTTTTATTTGAAATGAAATAGAACAAGATTAGTAAATGCAAAACTTCAATTAAATTAGTTTACATTTCATCTTGGTTATTTCATATTAGACTACAAGCGAAGCAATGCCACATCCATAAATGTCAGGTTTGAATGTTTGTTTCGGTTGTCAAGGTTGACGCTATCACTGGACTGCTATGAAACTTCAAATAGTGGATAACTGCAAACAAAACTGCAATTAACGTGGCTTTTTTTCCAAGGTGCCTAAAGTGATGTGGTTAGTCGTGTCGTTAATAATTGTCAGACCGACACAGCTATTCACGTCACACTCGATATCCTCAAGCTGTCTACTTCTACAACTGAAACTCTAATCCAATGTTTTAACTGTTATGACAATTAATCAATTTTTATTCTTTTTGCTTGAATGTTACAGATAAACACAGATGGCCGAGTCTCTGTGTGAGCGATCGACAATCTACTGAAACTTCAGAAACAATGATATATGCGAAATGTATGATGCAGGTCGCCTGATTCCGTTTCTGGACACTGATCACGTCAGCGAGGTCATGTTTCATTCTATGCGTGATTGCAGCCATTTTTTGCCAGGCTGTATTATGACAAATTTAGCTACGAAGGCTAGTTCGGGGTTATGCAACCACTCTTCTGAAAGGCCACTTATCAACTAAATCATCCGCATGCTTCAGAATTATTCCTAAGCAATGTGTGCAGTGTCAGTAACTTAGTTCCTTTACATCCACGTAAACAATCCATGTCCATACGCGATAGGGAGTGTTATCGTGATTTTGAAGTCGTAAATCGCAAAGGCTAAGCACTTTAGATCTTCTAAAAGTAATAATTTTATTGTTCTGTTGAAGAACAGTCGGAACAAATTGGATCAATCTTTGCCGTTGCCTATTCCGTGCAGACTGTAACAGCTTGTAGAGATGTCGCAAATCCGAAAAAAAATTAAAATAAAGATGATGGAATCACCTACCTGGTTAAACACTTACAGCAATAAGACGAAAACATTATTTGTGCATGAATGTGGCCCAAAGTTCAACAACTCGATTGAATTAGGTAAAACAAAAACAGAATAGAAAAAAATACATTTAATTCGCCATAATTTCCAGGAAAATTTCATGGTAATCCCACTAACAAATCATTTGCTGTAAAATATGCAGTTTGTTGCGAAGGCACTAATTGAGGCTTCGAAAAATGGGTAACAGAATGTTGCCACCACAATGCACAATATGTCAGACCGTGAAACTCATTTGTTCAGCAGAGAAAGAACATGACGGAATATAGTGGTTTGTTTCCATTCAGTGTGTTCTGAATGTGCGCATTCTAATGTCCTATGCAACCTGAATCTCGTACAAGCTGTTCCTCTAGAATGAAGGTCGAATTTTATGATGTCTAGGGAAACCATTTTCCGCCTGCATCAGGATTATGCAACAAATATGACTATGCTAGTTGTAATATAAGAACTAAAATCTTTTGCAGGTTTCCGGAACTTGTAAACCAACGCAAGGGATATTGAGGTAAAATGGAAAACCCGCAACTATGGTAATGGGACCATTTTTTATCATTTTTCAAACTGAAGATAGTTTCTAATTAGTAAAGATTCCCTAATAAATTTTTGCTTATTTTAAATTAATTATTTAAATGACCGTTATTTTAAGAAACCTTGATTCTCCTATTGCTAGACAAAATTTCAACAATTCGAATGACTTACTTCCACTTTAGAACGCATTGAATTGGCCGCCTAATGCATGTTGGATGCTTACACCAATGCATATCACCCAACATATTATCGAGATTATTTGGTGGATTCTGACTGCTTTATAATAATGCAATCGCTTGCAGTGTGAAAACTAAGTTAACAGTTTAAAATGTAAATGCACACTGCAAAATTCTGCTGTTCTTATTTATGTGAAAATATTTTAATGCAAGGAAATAGAGCAAAATTTTAT